GTCTTTACTCATTGCACTCCATTTTTCAATGGATCGCAAAATGGTCCTTCTCCTGGTGGACTTCTTTCCAAATTATAAGTTATTGAAATCAAGCGAGGATTATGCGCCGCGTCCCGATGAAATATCGTTCTCTCCAGGCCGGTGCGCGACATTCCAAATCCCGTTCTGCATCCTCGAGAAAGATTTATACGAACCAGAGATAGAAACAGAAAGAAAGAAATACAAAAACGAAAGAGAGAGAAATAGTAGAGTTGAAAATATATAAAGAAGGAGAAAGACAAACAGATTTCTTTCAATTTCATCATAATAAATGTGTGTGCTTGGTCCTCCCCAAAAATAAAGTCGTAATTAATTATAAAAAAATTAGGGGTGCCTTGCCACACGTTGCTGTAGCTCACAATCAGTCCGATACACACGTCTTTAAGTCAATTGCGATTATAAATTGAGATATAAACAATTCTATCTTTCAAGTTGGATGAAACTGCACACAGTATGCACAATTTGATTAAAATCGGTTCAGTAGTTTAGGAGTCCATTGCGGACAAACAACGTGACACCTAATTTGTATATATTAAGATTGTTTAATCTTATGTAACGATTCGTAGAAAAAATTATTATGAATCATCAGACAGACAAGTAGACAGAGATTTGATTTTTTTTTTTTTTTTTAATATAAAATATCCAACACGCGATAATGTTAACTATCATCGAGATATATCCTCAATTCCTTGTCGGGAAAGTGTACTCTCAACGCGAGTACAACTTAGCACGACTTCAAAGTTCCTACTTGTTGGAAAAGAGAAAACTTTTCTTTACTCAATTATTATTATAAAAAAAAAAAAAAAATGAAAGAAAAAAGAAGAAAGAACGAACGAATGAACGAACGAACCGAACGGAACGACCTTTGAAACTTTTTACCGAGTTAGATAATCGCGAAGATAAACGAATTCTTGTTAAAAAAAAAAAAAAAGATGATCTCTTTCATTTTCATGATAAATATGGAAAATAATACATTAATAATGTCATCTCTTGTATTAAACTAAAAAGTATATTAATTAGAACAGTAACTCGTTCACTTTTTCAGAAGTAAAAGTTAAAGTTGAAGTTAAAGTTCAATTTTGGGTTGGAATTGTTTTATTATAGAAATGAAATGAGAGAAAGTTAGAAAGAAAGAAAGAGAGAAAAGGAGTACGGTGAGAGAATAAAAAAAAAAAAATGTTAATCTTTTGATAAAAAAACGTGGACTATTAAAAATACATCTTGGCATAGATTGATCAATGAATAATTAACACGGTCGAGTAAGTTCCGCAAGCGTGCGCGTTTCTACTTATATCTATAATATATACATATATATATGCATGTATATGTAGATATATTACGTAGTAACTATAGCTAGGCGTTAGAAGGAAGGTGTACGTGCTCCTGTGGACGAAGGGGGAAGTTTATATCGCTCAGAAGAATGAAAAAGTTAACAAAGGGAGGGAAGTAGGTAAAGCTTCGTTCTACCGTGAAAGCTTTAAAAGAGATGTCGTCGTCGTCGTCGTCGTCGTCGTCCATATACAATACATATACATATCTACATACATATATACGTATAAACATAGATTTAACATAAATTATTTCAGTGTGAGTATTCACGTTTTAATATTTCACTGTAAAAAGTACGTGCGTATATGTATCATCCTGTGAATATTTGTATGTATGTGTAAGTGCGTGTAATGAAATACGCGTGCGTTGTTCAACACGCATAGACAAGAAGCATACGTTTATAATATAAAAGACGTTTAACAATACACTTCCCACTTGGAAGAATGCCACACAGCTTAGAGCTTGCGATTCATTCGCGTCTAAAGAGTGGAAAGTACAAAAAAAAAAGGAAAGTAAGATAGATGGATGAATAGATAGATAGATATATGGATGAGGGGATGTATAGATGGATAGAATAAACGCGTGACAGGAAAAAAGAAAAGAAAGTGAAAGGCGTGTGTATGTCCATGATTTTAAATCGTTTTAAAAGGGGCTAGTCCCCCATTTTAAAATTCATCAATTCCCAAATCGCGTTTCTCAGGAATAAGTCGCTCGTGTTTAGATAGAAAAAAAAAAAAAAAATAAGAAAACAAAAATAGTGAGAGATGGAAAGTGGGTCAGCTTTTTAGCAAGAGGAACAGACGAAGGTAAAAATCGCTACGTTAGAAACACACCCTTGGAAAGGGTAGGCAACTATTACTCAATTTTATATTCATTTTTTTTTTATTAAAATTGGAATGATGAGATGAGTAGAAGTAAGTTGATTCTCGATTAGTATAATCATTGTCTGGACTCTCTATTAAATTGTTTAACAGTTTCACTTGATGATGGTTATTATCGAACGACATCGTTTAAAACGAACGACTACGACTACGACGACGACGACGACGACGACGACAATCTTCTTACGAGGGTAATTTCGTGCGGTCGAGTGTAATTTCCAGACATCCTGTTCTCGATTGTATATACGGGGTGTATGTAATTATAGTTATACCTTCGACTCCTATTATAGGAGTCCTAGTATAGGCTGACTTTCTAAAATTGAAACACCTACATATCCTAAAAATATCATCATTTTTCAAATGATACAGTTTGAATATAAAATTGGTTGCTTCAAATTGGATAGGATAATTTTTATAGCCACGATTTGTACACACACCCTGTATACATTTGATTTCGTCATTGGATTAACTGGTAAACTGGTATTTAAATGACGGAAATGGAATGGTTCATGGGGAAGGGTTTTATTAGAAACATCGATAAAAGTCCAGGGGGTATTTAAATGATCATCGTGTCTTATACGTGTTAAGATGTTTAGAGACATTGATATGGTTAATTAAGAAAAAATATCTATAAAAATATAATTAGATGATAGTTTGAACGTAATTACCGAAATGGAAATAGAACGTATTATAGTTACGATTTGGGCGAGTAATTCGCGTGTATTGTTGCTGATAAAAAGGGGAAGGGTGGAAGACTTAGAGCTTTAAACGGGGATTAGAAGAGTAGGAAGTAAGTTCGTGCGGTATCTTCCGTTTCTAAGCGGCATCGGAGTTCATGCTTATCCAAGCTCGGTAAGTGCATCCTTTTTAACGGGATTAGCCGCCCCGAGATGAGAATCTATGTCGTCGTTGAAGTAGAGAAGAGAAGCCCATTTTCAAGAAGCTAATTCTATTCTACGATCGAATGGCCTTGAAAGTCGACCTCCTTGGCTGATAAGTCCATTTGATAACCGATCGATGTGTGCATCCTCTTCCTTTCATCATTTTTTTCTCTTTTCTCTCTCACCCTTCTTCTTTTCTTTTCTTTTCTTTTCTTTTTTTTTCTTTTTTTTGTTCCTTCGTGGAATTCCCTTTCGTGCCCGTCCAGTCGTTGGCCAAAAATTGGCAAGCCTTCGTTGGACCTGTTACAGGCTCAAGACGAACACAAAAAGATGGAAAGAAGTAAAATATACAGTGAGAGAGGGAGAGAGAGAGAGAGAGAGAGAGAAGATGAGATGGATTGGAGTTTTTAGCAGCGTTGTTCCTAGCTGAAGATCTTATTTCCCGTCTCTCGAAGAAACTGCGAGAGATTGGGCCACGTAGTAGGTTGGCCACCTGCCTTTGCAACGAGCCAAAACAAAACCTATAAGCTCCTTTATCCTCCAGTTCTCTTGTGTGCGACGTTTATACATTTAACAATAAAGATTTTCACATAATCGTATTACTCAATTTGCTATTCTCAGGTTACGGGCTGCGCAAAATTCGATTAAATAATTCTTCATATTTGATATCACAAATTTGTGTCCACAAAATTTTCTGAATTTGTTCATAATTGCATGAGAAATTTGATAATATTTCAATTGAAATAAATATCAATTGGATAATAAATGTTGCTAATTAGTTAACATTTTGTAAGAAATATTGCTAATGAAATGAATATAATTTAAACATTCCCATTTGTTACACCTTCAAAATAATATTTTGTTTCAATTAGTATACTACTCTTGTTCTCGAGTTTATAATCGGTCGGTCTCTCAGTTATGCTATTTTTTCTTTTTTTCTTTTTTATTGAGAAGACCAAAGCGGAAAATAAAAGGAAGGAAAAGATAATAAAAAGTAAGGTAAAAATGTTATCCCGACGAGATTTTCTTGGAGCAACACCGTTGTTCAACGTCGTAATAGTTTCCGAACACACGAGAGAGAGAGGGAGAATGAGACGAGATTTATTTTTGATAATAAACGCGATGGAACGCCGAGCGAATATCGCTTTTACGTAACCACCACTCGTAACGGACCGTTGGTCACCAAGAATTTCGTAATTTTCACGATCTCCTATTCCTACGGCATGAATTTTTATTAACATTTTGTCTACTTGAATCTTTTCTACGACGTGTTATATACGATCGTTATCATCACATACCTAAAAGTCATTCCTAGAGATACCACCATCTATCATTCTACTTAATTTCTATTAATTTACGAGTTTTTATTTTACCGTGAAAATAATTCATTAATTGAAGAAACGTGTAGTCACAAATTGATCACAATTTCAATGAAATAATAAAATGAATTTAAAGTTTAATGATAAAGTCAATTAAAGGTTCCATTCTTTGAACGATAAATCTTAATTCCTTTGAGCATCTTAGAAGATGAACGTAGTTTTCTTTTCCCATGTGGAAACGCGTCAACTTTGTTGAGTAATTGCTGGGAAAATGCAAATTTAATAATACCTACATTTTCAACAACGCACGCAATCCATTAATAAAATTCAAATTGTATTACTTAAGAGAGAGAGAGAGAGAGAGAGAAAGAAAGAGGAAGGGGGGAAATAGAAGCGATTCTAATTAGTAAAAGGACATTAGGAAAGAAAAAATAATATGTAAATGTTATCAGACATCGTACTTATAATTAATGATCAAAATAATATGATTAAATTCTATACGTTTCGGTTAGTCGATCGATACAATAATCTTATCGATTTGTCTTTCATAGGAAGCCACGCGAACGAGTGTGAAGGTAAGAAGTAAGAGTTAGGCAGAACGAAAGAAAGAAAGAAAGAAAGATAGATAGATAGATAGAAAAAAAAATGTGAAGGGCTTTCAGATGATTGGATGAGGATGAGAATATCGAATGAACTTTTAAGTCGACAGCTTTGATATTGGATCATTTCAATGTGTGTGTGTGTGTGTGCTTTATGTATTTGCAGGAGGAGCAGGTGGCAAAGATTGGAGAGAGGATTCTTTAAGAAACGGAGCTGGGACTACTGAAGGAGCTTTTCCGTTTGAAAATATTTGAAGCAACTTACGACGATAAGGTGGAGAAGAAGAGTTTGAAATAAAAAAAGAACACAAGCAATTGAGAAAATTGAGATAATAATTGAAAGTCTAAAGATGAGACAAGTCGTTGTCCTAGAGCCAGCAGGCAGCGTTCTGGTGATCAGGCAGACTTCTTTGAGTAGTGGTGGTGGTAATGGTGGTGTCACAGGAGTTAACAACGCCAATTTATCAGCGAATAATAACGGACATGATGGTCATACTCTTGCCAACCACGTATCCGTATCATCGAATGCCTCTAATGATCACAATCAGAATCGTATTGTTGTTGTGCGTTCCTCGTCCACGTGCATGACAACTACGGTAAGTCATTGAAATACTTGGATAAAATGAAATGCAAAGAGAGAGAAGAGCGTTTGTACATATTTTCTTTCTCTCTTTTTAGCCAGCTGCTATTGTTGATGATTCATAGATGTACGTGTACATGAGTGTCAGTGTTGGATATGTTATAGGTTGATGAGAACACGTCTAACAACGGAAACGGTAATATCAATGTGAATGCCAACATCAATGGCAACTCTACTGGTGGTATCAATTGCAAAACATCGGCAACTGTCGGCCTTGGTGGTGTGTCCAAGTCGGTTGAAAGAAACGATCACAAGAATCAGGAAGGAATCGTCGTTGGTGGTGGTGGTACAACTGCTTCTTCTTCTGCTTCTGCTGCTTCTGCTGCTRCTGCTGTTGTTGGAGAATCGAACTCTGGATGTCGTATAAGAACAAGCAAGGATGCCGTTCACGAGAGCGTAACCATAGAGAGGAAGTTCGATGGCGCGGATCCCATCTCCGGTGAGTACTTCCGCCATTACTCACTTTTTCCTCCGACAAAGCGGACCATTTTCTCGTAAATTATTTACCCTTATTCCTTCTTTATCTGCTTACGTTGGAACGCGCCGAGGAAATGATCGATCTTTTCTCTGATATCGCATTGTAATGGAATTAGGTAGATATTTTTGAAAGGAAACAAAGAAAGAAAAGATAATGTCTTTCTCATTCGGTTTTTTTTTTTTTTTTACAAATTTATAGTTACATATACATACATACAAAATTTTGTTCTCTTATATCGATTAGTTATGTCAAAAATGACAAATTAATATCTTTCTCAGAAAATTCATCACCTTTCACCTAAATAAAGAATATACATATATATATATATATTTTTTTTTTTAGATATACATTATTTTTGCTTGCCCTACACATATTTATCTGCTATTTGTATGACAAATTCGTAATATTTTCTTGAACATTCTCAACACGTGCGACAAAATTGCGTAATAAAGTTTTTCTTTCTTGGTAGTTGTATTTCATGACAGAGCGTGTTAAAGGCGTGTTAACGTGACGTTTACAGGACAAGCGATGAGAGTTAGAAAATTTACTCAATCTACTATGACAATGTACTTTTACAGAAACATCGATTACATTTTATATAGGGTGAGATAAAAGTCGTTTTTTTTCCTTTTTTTTTCTATAAAGTTTTTCCACAGAGACTTGCACAAGATTTGGATGAACACTCATTTCAGAGCTTGGATATCAATCCTTGATTTTGTTTTGTCAAATGAATATTAATTTGAACAAATGCAAAGAAATGAATCTATAAAAATGCACGAATAAATATTTAAAGTTATTTTGATTAAAGCTACTTTTATTTCACCCTATATTATATGCATAGGCGCTTGCAGCACACACACACACACACATACGAAACCGCGTTTATGTTTATCCACAGAGTCGTTGTCGGTTCTCTTATGAATTTGAAGATTAATTAAGAATGTAAATCGATGTGAAGACCTGCCCAATGTTAGCACGCGATGTGAAAGTATGTGTGACGTTAGCGATGATGTATAATACATGAATTATGTATAAAGATGAGAGAGAGAGAGAGAGAGAGAGAAAGAGAGACAGACAGAAAACATGAAAATTGCCAAGTTTGCGGATTTGATGAAGCAAGAAAAAAAAATGATCTCTAGTCGTGCATTAATGAAGATGATAGACTAAGAAAAGCTACTATACTTTGTTATCTTTTTTCAAATCGTTACTTTCATATATTTTTTAGTGCAATAAGAAATGGTATTGATTTGTAGAATAGAAATGACTAGTCGATTGATTAAAAATCGTTTGGAAGTAATGAAAAATCTATAAAAGTGAATAGAAGATAGTAGGTAAGCTTCCTTATCGACATGATTTCTTGCAACCCCTAGGTAAAAATAGAAATGAACCCTCGTAAGGTTGTAGTAGGAGGATACATGGAGATACGTAAGATAGGGTGCTCTCTAGCGGGTAAATGTGGTGAAGGGTTAATTCGTAGTTCCGGCAATATCCGCCAGAGCGGCGATTCTGTGCACTCTTCGACCTGTGCTTTCGAGTTCGCTTATATAGGTGTCTTATATTCACGGTATCCTAGCATATCCCTACTCTATTCTGACCTATCCGATCGCTACTGACTGGACTGGGTATCGACCCCTGGAGAGACGGGAGCTTCCCTTCTTCTTTGCCACCCCTCACTGAGCTTGCAAGCTTTCGAAGGATCCCACTGTTTTCCTTCCGGCTTCAACTTATCCTTTCCTTCGAGTTTACCAATCTTATCCTACCGAACATTTGGGTGTTTTTTCATCCCTCACCCTCCTTTCTTTCTCTACCCTTAGCGTGTGCACAATTGTAATTCGTATACGTTGGATGACGACCGACGTCGTAACATAGTTCCCAAACTTGAACGCTCCAAAGCGAGAAGCGCTAAAGTAGTCTGATGAATACGAGGTCGAGCTTCTCCGGACCCGGCAGCAATCTTATCGATTGTCTTAGCCCACCTACCGTGACACTCACCCTCACCCTTATTCCCTTTCTATTCCTCTCTTGTTACTTCTTTCTCTTTTTTCAAGCAGAACAAACCGTCGTCTTATTTGCTCTGACCCTCCTTTCTTCGTCCTTCTCTTTTCCTACTTAGAAGAAGGAAGTATCACCAACGACTAACGACCATCAGTCAGCTTACGTGTCCAGTTAACTTCGTCCTCGTTCTATGTACCATAGATGAATGTAGTATCCTATGTATTTATTTATGTGCATGTATGCGTGCGTGTAGAGTCATCTCCCACTTTTGAAGATCTCGTACGAGATCGTGAGACTCGCAAGGGCAAAGAAAGAGAGAAAGAAATATAGATAGAGAGATAGATAGCAGTAAGAGAATACAAAAGGGACGGGGCAAACGAGGAAGACGCGAGAGGTAGTTGGACACGAGTCTCTGCCAACATTCTATTTAAAGCGAAACGATAGTAGTAATAGTAGTAGTAGTAGTTAGTAGTAATAGTAGTAGTAGTAGTAGTAGCAGTAGCTAGCTTGCTAGCTGACTGGTAATTTACGAGCTTATACTAAAAAAGTTGGACACTTTGGGGATGGCTCCGCACTTTGACACGTGACCCACTTTTATCAAGTTACGTAATTGATCACCTCGCGCCTGCCCGGTTTGCAAACGTACGAAGGCGACCTCTTCCCCTTTTCTACCTTTTCTACCTGTCCACTCTCTTTCTACTTCTGTCCGTCTTTCTGTCTTTCTATCTGTTCATTCCCATTAGACAATAACGACGTGGGAGCTGCGGCAATGCATCGCGAGCGTACACGCGTGAAAGTAGATAATACCTCGGTGATTCTTGGGATTATCCAAAAGCTGCTGCCGCCGCCGCCGCCGCCGCCGCCGCCGCCACCTGATCATGAACTACGAGATAATGAATATTACGGAGTAAGGATACTCCTCCATTTCCAGGTCGTTTATCTAGGGAGCATGTTATCGGTAGCTTTGTTGGCTCAGTTTTATCCTAATTTAGTCGTGCTAGTTTATCGATCGTCAGACAAAATTCCTATCTATTCTAGTTAGAATTTTCGTTTCTTTCCGTTCGGACAAATAGATCGTCGTAAATGGGAAGGTCAAGTCACGTGCTTCTTTAACTACTACCAGGATCGATAGCAATCACTACAATTAGAACTCTCATAGAACGAAATAATCGTTACCGGGTTCTCACGTTAACGTTGATTAACTAACAAGAAGAGAAACTTTGGTGGTTATCAGCGAACAGCTCGTTATCGTTCGATCCCCTGTCGTCCCCCCTACCTAGACCAATTTTTGCTTTCTGACCACGGATTTGGTCGGATATCGTTAGGCGTTGTGTTCACTCTTCGCTCTTGCTCGTTCAAAGAATCTCTGCCGACGTGGCAGATCCTGTCGACGATTTAGATAGCATCGATCACAGTCACTAAAGTTTTCTATCTTTTCCTCTAACCCATACTGTTTTCAAATCAATAGGCTAATTTCGAGGTGGCCTGGGTACGGTCGATGTGTCTGATGTCACCGCAGGAACGTCGAGTAATTAGAACACACCAAACAAGCGTGCTCGCTATTGGATTCCCCTTTTGTGTTCCGTTCTCTAATCTTCCTTTCCTAAATTGGTCTTCGATACGTACCATACAATCATGATCAGTTGTTCTAGTATTTTTCATTTAAGTATATATGATTGCAATTAATTTTACTTATGTAAAACATTTGTCTAAGAAAGAAACGAATTTTGTACGATCTATGATATTAACGTTTTTAAATGAATCATCTAGCAAACTGGTGTAGGTCATTTGATTTCTGATCTACAATCGTCGTGAGTTATTCGGTCTCGATTATGACCTCGGGGTTAAATGATGAGGCTACGCGAGGAAAGCTTGGAGAGTTCACTATGAGGTAGGACACGTTTGGATCGGTAAGGGAATCGGTGAAATGGTCGTTGTAGTGGTGGTAGTATTCGTGCGAAACGACAACGGCACATGCATCCTTTCCGCGTAGAAGGAGAGAGAAAGAGAAGAGAGGGAATTCTCTTCACACGTTAACGTTGGCACACGTGGAACAGTGTACTTCTACCTAGGCAACGCTTAAATCCATATAAATACGTGCCCATGAATCCGGCCATTAATCAGATTCGCGATAGGGAATGGAATAGAGGGATTGTAGGGGTAGATGGAATGGTTTGAGGTGGGGTTTAGGAGGGGGGAGGGCGGGTGAGTGAGAAAGAGTCTGGAGCGCAAGCCCGAGTGATTTTTACCCAAGCCACCCACCCACCTACCCACCTACCCACCGAGCCACCTTCTTTTCTCTATATATTTTTTGCTGATATCTATAGACTACTAGGAAGGGAGACTGGTTGTTCCTGGGGTCACTAGAAGATGGCGGCACCTCCATTAAAATTCGACACGAACCTTCTGCGAGAATCCGATGTATGCTGTGTCATGCACCCACTTCTCTCTCTCTCTTTCTCTTTCTCTTTCTCCTTGTGTTTCTATACTGTCTATGTTTATGTCTCTATGTGTATGTCCCTTACATGGAAGGATAGTACAGGGGGTAGTTCTACGAGTCTGCAAGCGTACAACTTCTCGTCTCTTGCGGCACGAATGCGCATTTCTCGTGTATAGGTGCGAACCTGCTGGGCACATTCTCTCTCTCTCTCTCTCTTTATTTCTTTTGATTTTTTTGTACAACCTCTTTCCTCCACGTCGTAGGCTGTGAGTGGAATATGGTTTAGGCGACTACCAAGAGGGAAATCGTGCATCCACTAGTACTGCCGCTTCTATTACGCAATAAGAAAACTATTTCCATCGCGTTTCAACATTTTAAAGAAACTTTTTATTGCGACCCCCTTTTTCTTTCTCTTTTTGCTCACGTACCTTCTCTACCACCCCTCTTCCTTCTTTTAGTTTTCGTTTCTTTTTTAAAGCTCGTAATATATTCGAATAATTTCGCGACCGGACGTCGCACGGAAGTG